ACACTTTATTGGGGAAATTCATATCAATAAAAGAAAGGTTTAGGCCTATATGTACTTGCACTCCTTGATACCCAGCCACCCCCTTCGCTACCCTGTTTGCCCTGCCTTGTTACCTCACTGTGATGCCCGCTGATGTGTCTGTCTCGTGAGAGGGCTGAGCCTCTCCACAATGCCAGCCCGGGCTTGTGAGACCTTGCTGAGGTGTCTGCCTTGTGAAGCTGTCTTGAAAGATGGCTGCCTGGAGTAGGCCTCATGAGGCACGGCTGCCGTGGCAGAGGGGCCAGGTCACCTTGTGAAACAGGCACTTCAGCAACACCTGGGTGACAAGGCGGCATGGGAGCAGGACTGGGATTGAGGTGAGGCGGCAGCCAGGCACCGGGGAGTGAAACCAGGAGGGAAGACAGGAACCACAAAGGCAGCCAAGCATGCCCTGCTGCCAGCAATTCAGCAGTCGCTAGGCAGAACAGGGCAGCAGTAAATGGAGACTGGAACAGCCACGGTTGCTTTTGCCACCAAACTTGCAATCAGAAACAGGGAAGCTACCCATAACAAGCAAGCAGTGGTGCAGCACGAAATCTTGGGACCGCTGGTTCTCTGTGGGGATTCACCACAACCAAACAGACCACACTTCACTATGCTTTCCTCATTCACACATAACGACAAGCCATTCCTGCCATGGCTTGTCGTTATGTGTGAACACAGGCAATGCCTAAGAGTGTTTTCCAAAGGAAAAACGGTTTTAGTTGTTCTTTCACTGCAGTTGTCCTGAGGGAAAATCAGGTTAACAGTTATATGGAGGGCATAGTAGGAAGAGTGGAACGGGGAGGCTTTGGCAGGGAAAGTACACAGCAGGTAGTGAAATGGGGCAGGAAGGTGTGGGGTGCTCAGTGGCTGGAGGAGACTTGAAATGAGCTAAATGAAATTTTCTAACCAAAGCTGCAATAGTAGAAAGGATAGTGAGCAAAGGGACCTTCACTGAGCACTGCTTCTCCCAGAGACACTTTAGAAAGAGAAGTGGGATGGAGAGACCAGCCGAATGAAACAAGCAACCCAGGCAGGTGGAGAAAGCAGCATGCTAATAAAAAGCACAGAAGGGCATGGAAAGGTTCACAGGTGTTCTTAGAAAAAAGAAAATCAGCAGGTGTGGGTGGCCAATGGGCAATCCTTCCAAAGGAGGCCAGCAAATACTGAGCATACAAGAGGCTTGTTGTAAAAAGGCCACTGACAAAGTGAGGGAGTCAAGGATGCAGATCCTGCTCCAAAGACATCTGCAAAACCTGACACAGCTGGCGGGAAGACTGTGGGGGAAGAAGGGGAAGAACAACCCGTGGGGAGCCCAAACCACACAGCGTTGCTTATGCGCAGGCGGGCTTGTGTGTGCTGTGAAACCCCCACCCACTGAGAAGATATTTAGTTGACAGTAATGAGAACAAAAATAAATTTTAAATTAAGAAGACATATGATTAAATATTTAAGACCAATAAATCTATAACATATTACAAAATTAGCCCATTAACCTTCCTATTAAAAGGTAACAACTATAAATTACCAAGATCCCTATGTTAGACAATTTCAATTTGTGAATGCAAAAAGTTACAGATGTTAAAGCAAAATGGGTCCAGAACAGAAACAATGCTAGTCATGCAAGGATGGGGAATAGGAGGATGAATTAATGGGTCAGCACCTCCTCTTTCATACGCAAATTGGCCTTGGTTTGGGATTATAGGTAATTGCTTGGTTAACCAAGCCTTGTGATCTATAAATAAAAGCTTTAGAACTGAGTGGGTTGGGATAATTTGTAAGAAAAAGAAGAGGAGCAGTCTGACAGCTGCTTTCCACTCCTTTCAAATCTAGCACTATGCCTGTCCCAGCTCCAGGTGACAGAATGCTTGAAATCCTCATGAGCAACTCATTTTACAGTTAATCAACCTGGGATTTCTATAATCTTTTCCTGAGGCAACTCTGAGATTTTCTGTTCAACTAATTTAGATAGGCCACTTGTAAGAGACTGGAGGAAATGCTGTAACCAGATATGCATGCTTAGCCTTGCCAGAGAAGCTTCTGCATTGTAAGTAGTTTCAAACTTGACATGGGTTAAACATTGGGTTGTTTCTCCCTCAACAACTCAAGAGTGCTGATTTCAAGCGACTCAGCGCACAACCTGGACTGTTTACCGAAGCAGAAAGAAAGCCAAGGTGGGTGTGCAGTCAGGACATAGTCACTCACTGGCACTCATTCCTGCACAGCCCCAACCACCCAGTTTAAAAAGCATACTGGTGGCTGTTAGGTGTGAACTAGGTCTATATGGAAGTAAAGATGTTGGTGGTGGCTGAGAGTTTTTATAAGAAAATTTTATAGCAAGGAAACATTTAAGTGCACAAAAGTTTGATTTGCTTCTTTGGAATAACCTTTCACTAAGGAGCTGCCACTATGTAAATACTTTGCTTGCTAACCTCACATGAATGTCACTATCACCCGTCCCCAAGAACCCCCCAAAACACCACACACGCTAGATTCAAATGCCACTCTTTGTATTGGGCCATGGCTGTGCATCTTGATATTTTCAGTTCTTTCTAGCAGTATAGTAATATTTCAGCACCACAAGCTTTCCGATGGAATTTCTCCAACCAAAAGTCACCCATACCTTTAGAGAAAAACTCCCACAGTGGCAGCAGCTGAGTAAGTGTTGTTGGCAAAGAATATACAATATTCTGATGCTACTGGAATTGCTTAGTTCATTTTCTTTACTAATGGTTCTTAACAACAACTCTTAACACTTTGCTTACTGCTTTATCGTTCACCTGAAGCATGCTTCAGAATTCCTCCTGATGGTACAGAGCTGGAGAAAAGGGTGTAAACATTACTCTGATTGTCGAAAACAGCTTATGCCTAAACAAACCATGACCAGTTTCATGAAAGGGAAAAGAAACAAAGACAGATTCATCACATTGCAGAACAGCTTGCTGCTCTATTTATGAGTTGTAAATGTTTCCCAACACCTGCTTCTAGGTGCTACACCAGAAGAGCAGCCTGAGGTCCTGCCACAAATGGCAATGCTTATAGAAATAAGCTGCATATTCCATGATGTCATTTCTCAGTCTCTTAATCTGCATCCAAACTGAGACCCTATTTTTACTGATATGGTAAATCTGTTTCTGGTCTCGACCTCTATAGAGTACTGGAGGAATTTACAAGTGAATGTATGAAATCTTCTCCATACAGAAATCTCCACACATTAAAAAAAAAAAAGGATAGCAGGGAGTCTTCTCCAATTTGTTAGTTTTCTATTCACAAGGATTTCTTTCTTTCTTTATTGTACAGAAGAACGTTTGCTTATGCGATCCCCATGCTGGAGTAATACACCCAGATGTAGGCTGCCATGTTAGTGACCCTTTGCCTAATGTGAAAGGCACCCTGTATATTCTGAAGGCATATGATCCAGCCACTTTGCTAAAACTATCTAGGTTTGGTTCATCTGCCCAGGAACACAATGTACAAGACTTTCAGTTCCATCTTTGAAGGAAGGCAGGGTATAAGAATAATAAATGAATTTAATTATATTGGAAAGACAGGAGTATTGTAATACTGAACATGTATTAAGATGATAGTAAGTTGGACTAAAAGCAAAATAATATATTGAAAGTTGTACTCTGTGTCCCTTCCCCTAAAAGAAGGCTCTACGATCCAGTGGAAGCTTCCACAAGCAAAAAGAGGGGTGGAAGGAGAATTTATTTATTTATTTTGCTGATTCCTCCTTCCTTCACCAAATCTGCCTCAAAGGGAACAGTGCTAGGGGTGATAGACAGTGGGAAACTGCAAAATTAACCTATCTATCCACCTCACTTCCTGCTCATGGAAATTCCTGTTAGATCAAAGCCTTCCATCTACAGAAGGGACAACATTTGATACACTTTCCATATGCAAACTCTTTTCTAAGTGCATGTGACATGTACACTGTCACCAACATGATGTGCATGGGAATTGTGGGCCGGTATTAAAAATAATTCTACACCATGGTCAACCCTATTGTGAAGGCACTACAGAGTAGTTTTGCATTTCTGGCCTGAGGCACTGTGGGAAGAAACATGAATTGGATAAGCACATGCAGTTCTGATCTTCACACGTACAGATTTGTGAAGACACTACTTCCCAGAAGACTCTGACAACTTACTATGCAAAGAAACTCCAATTTCTGAAGATGCACAAAAAATACTATTAGCTTTAATGAGTATGTCTGATGCAAGTATGGGCCCCTCAGAAATTTGCAAGGCAGATAGTGTGATGAATTGTGGAGGTATAGGATGGGCGAAAAAGAACTAAGGTTGAGCTGTTTCTGCCACAATTCCCAAGTACCAATGCCTGCTTTGAGCCCCCACACCCAACACTAGGGGGAAGGATGTGGGCATCCCTCAGCCTCCCTTCACCCCACAACAACAGTTAGGGAAACAGCTTGTTCTTAGATACAGCACACCAACTGGCACACTGCCTCTGAGTCCAGTTCTTCCTCTCCTCGGACATCACCACAGTGCCTGTGAAGGGGAAAGTACAGTTTAATCTCCATTCACTCAAGGCAACTCTTCAGAGGAAGGGAATTGCAGCTCCTTGTGCTGACTGAACCACGTCAGTCAATGCAACTAAACCACCATCTTGCTCAGGGCTAGGGTCTGCACACTCCAACTACCAGGAGTATCCCCAAGTGAGAGGGAAGTATTCCTGTGGCTCTCATGGACAGTCAGTCTTAAGGTGGGGTGGGAAGAGTTATTTTGAGCCCGCCTCCCCATCTTTCCCTGCAAGTGTAGGAATCTCTATTCTTCTCTCCTCTCCCAGCATGAGACCCTACTGATATAGAGATAAATCAGTAATACACACATTTTAAAACATTTCTATCAATGGTATTAGTAATAATTTAAGTTATACTAATGTAAATTATTGGGTAACATGGATTATAGTAATTAAATCAATTCACAACACTCATAAAATGGTTAGGATATGAAACTTACTACTTCATCTTCAAATCCCCCAGCCAACACGAGGGAGTAGGCGCCATCATTACTACGTCCATGAATTCCACCGACATGAGGTCTATGGACACCTGCTTCACTCACCTTCAAAATAAAACAAAGTTATTTAAAACAAGTTTTTAAATGCACCTACCAGTACAAATCTGCATTCTCATAATACATTGCAAGCTGCTTTTGGAACCTGTCAGCTTCAAAAGTATTTTGTAACACAGAACAGGTCTTCAGTTCAAGAAATGTACATTCAAACCTGAGTGCACAGAACAAGTTATTGGCATATGTTACCAACCACCCAGTCAAGAAGAGGACCAAGATGCAATCTTTGAAAAACAACTTGCCAGTGTTTGCAAGAAGAATGATGTAGTCGTCACAGGGGACTTCAATTTCCCTGATACATGCTGGGAGACAATTTCTGTCAACCGTGGGCCCTTCAAGAGATTCCTGACATGCATCACCAGCAACTTCCTCCAGCAGAAGATAGAAGAAACAGGAGGATCAGCTATCCTTAATTTAATACTAACAGGGATGACCCGGTGGACAAAATAGCAGCCACGGGAACTCTGGGGGAAAGTGACCATGCAATACTTGGATTCTCAGTTATAAAGGAGACAGAGGTTAACTGCAGCTAAAATTGTACCCTGGATTTCAAGAAAGCCAACTTGAACGAACTCAGAAAAATGGTAAGTGAGGTGCCATGGCAACTCACTCTTAAAGGATAAGGAGTCCAAGAGGGATGGGAAATCTTGAAAAAGAAGCTTCTCCAAGCACAACTATGAACAATTCCATCAAGAAACAAGTGTAGAAGGCAACAGAAGAAGCCCACATGGTTCCACAAAAAGTTAACCTAAACCTGAAAGAAAAAAAGAACATGTACAGGAGATGGAAGCAGGGTCAGTCCACAAAGGAAGAATATAAACAAATAACAAAGAATTGCAGGGACAACATCATGAAGGTTAAAGCAGGAAATGAACTAAGAACAGCAAGGGATACTATGAACAACAAGAAGGACCTTTTCAGATACATCCAAACCAAAAGACACGTGAAAGAGAAATGTGACCAGCCATTTAAAGTGTGATAACAGACAACAAGGAAAAGGCGAAGGTGCAAAATTCCTGCTTCGCCTCAGTCTTCTCCCACAAGAAAATCTACAACAAAGAGGAAGTACAAGCTGAAAGTGAGAGATGGCAGTCCAAGATTGACAGACAAAAAGTCAAGGAATTCCTGGATGGAATAAACATGTTCAAATCTCCAGGGCCCAATGAACTCCAGCCCAGAGTCACAAAAGAGCTAGTGGAGGAGCTAGTGGAATAAATCTTGGAAGTGCAAGACCAACTGGGGAAGGGCTAACCTTGTCCCCATCTTGAAAAAGAGAAAGGAGATGAATCTGGAAACTACAGTCTAGTTAGTCCAACATCAATCCCTGAAAAAATTCTGGAGCAAATTATTTTAAAAATCAGTCAGCAAGCATCTTGAAGAAAATGCAGTGATTAATAAAAGTTAACATGGATTTATCAAAAATAAATCCTGTCAGACTAATTTAATCTCATTTCTTGACTGAGTAACCTCCCAAATGGAAAAAGGGAACACTGTGGACATAATCTACCTTGACTTTAGGAAAGCTTTGGACATAGTGCCTCATGATAACTTGATAAGCAAATTAGCAAAAAGTGGACTAGATGAAAAAACCATTAGGTGAATCCAAAATCGACTGCTAAATCAGAAACAAAGTGGCATCAATGGCATCCTTTCAAACTGGAGGGAGGTAACTAGTTGGGTGTTGCAGGGTTCAGTTGTAGGCCCAGTCCTCTTCAACATTTTTATCAAGGATTTAGATGAGAAAGTACAAGGAAGGATAATCAAATTTGCAGACAATACAAAATTGGGTAGAATAGCAAACACCCTAACACATGGGTCCTCAAACTACGGCCCAGGGGCTGGATCCGGCCCACCATGTCCATTTGGATCTGCCATGTGTGCCTGCCGCCGCCCACCTCGCCCCACGCGCAGATAGGCAGCAGTTTGCTCGCTTGGAGAAAACGATCTCCAAACGAGCAAGCTGCTGCCTTGTGGGCCCGCCTCGTGGCGTGTGCCTGCCCCTGCCTCCCCTCACCACGTGTGCGTGCCCGCCTGCACCTCGCTTCCCCTCTCTGCCCGTGTCTCGCCTCGTCCCTCCTTGCCACTTGCACCACCCCCCTCCGCTGGCACCATCTTTCTGGCCCACACCCAGCACCGGCACCTTTCAACTGGCCCCCTGGTGAAAAAAGTTTGAGGACCCCTGCCCTAGAAGATAGCCTAAGGATCCACGGCAATCTTGAAAAACGTGAATGCGGGGCTGAATGTAACAGAATGCTATTCAATAGGGACAAGTGTCAAGTTCTTCACCTAGGAAAAAGAAACCAAGCACATTGATACAAGATGGGGAATACGTGGCTCAACAGAATTGAAAAAGACCTTGGAGTTGTTGTGAACAAAAGGCTAAATATGAGGCTACAACGCGATGCAGTCGCCAAAAGTGCAAATGCTATTTGGCAATGCATTAACAGAAGTATTACTTCAAATCATGAGAAGTAGAAGTTCCCCTGTACTCCTCACTAGTCAGACCTCATCTGGAATATTGTGTCCAGTTCTAAGCACCAAGATTTAAGAAAGAGACAGAAAAATTAGAAAGGGTCCAGAGGAGGGCAACAAAAGTGATCCAGGGTTTGGAAACACTGCCCTGTGAGGAGAGACTGAGAGAACAGGGCACGTTCAGCCTTGAGAAGAGAAGACTGAGGAGGGACATGATATCCCTCTGTAAGTACCTCAAAAGTATTACAAAGAGGAAGGTCAAGATCTCTTCTCGCTGATACCAGAGTGTAGGACATGGAATAATCAATCCAAGTTGCGACAACCCAGATTCAGACAAGATATAAGGAGAAGTTTCCTCACTGTCAGAGCAATACAACAGTGGAACCAGTTGCCTGGAGAGGTGTGGGTTCTCCCACACTAGAGACATTCAAGGCAAAACTGGACAGTCATCTTAGTAGGATGGTTTAATTTGTTGTCATGTAACAGCAGGAAGTTGGACCCAATGCCCTTCATGGCCCCTTCCAACTGAACTACTCTTATGATTCTTTGAAGTGCAGGCTCTCCAGTGTGGTGCTATAGGCCCCAGTGTGTTTGCAGACAGTTCTCTTAAAAGCTGCCAGACTTCCCATCTCTCTTATCTTTCAATTTTTTTTCTTTGCTAATTAAAAGATCAACAACAAAAAATAACTAAGAGGTTAGCTGCAAAGTGAAGTGTTGCCCCCTCCCAGTGCCATTTTTTTGGCTTTAAGAGTAACTTTGTGCTCAGACCCCACTTCTGCCAGTTTGCTGTCTGAGCAACAATCATTTTATGACTGGCACTGTTCACTGAATCAGCTGTGAGAGTACCTACGACAGTCTCCACATTTTAAATATGCCCACCATCCTTAAAGGTTCTAGGAACCCCAAACTATTGATTTATTTAAGACATTTGTATGCCATCCTTTGTGACAGCCTCAAACTAAGACATATAATATCTGGATCCTGGTCTTTACTCGAGAATGAAAGGTGCAGTAAGCTTTTTTCTAAAAATCAGCTCAGGATCAAGAGTGCAGAGTTCTATTAATATGAGGATGGGCTTGCTAACAGACAAATGAGACCCAGTACATGAAAAAACAGAAAGAAAGAAATTGGCTCCAATACAGTACAGCCACTTGCCCACCGTTTGTTCAAATTTTTGGATCATGGCTTATATTATTACAAAATCTGACTGTTTCTGCACAGAAAATGAACTGGAATGGCTTTTGTGATATGCCACAAAATAATATGAGAAGGAAAAAGAAAAAAAAGTTTGGACTATGAACCAGGACTGGGTAACTTGTGGCCTCCAAACATTTTGGCCTACAATTCCCATTATCTCTCATCACTGGCTATGCAGGCTGATTTGAGTTGGAGGCCAAAACCTCTGCAAAGGTACAAGATACCTATCACCACTATATGCCATCAAAATTCTATGTATGTCATACCTGCACTCTGAATTTCCAAGATGCTCCAACAGGAACTCCAGGTATAGGTCCATAGTGGTTAGAAGGAACAATAGTGCACTCCTTAGTACGACCAACACAAGCCATGCCCTACAGAAACAGTGCAGACAAGTGATCAATTGAAAAGGTTATAAAACTTTATACAGTGCAGCATCTCTACAGTACTTCTTTCAACCCCATCACACACCACTCCGAGCATGAGCTCTTGTTGGAGAAAAATGTCACTGCTCTACAAATAGTGGCTTTCACTCACTCTGAAAATGGCTACTTAGAATGTACACAATGAGAGAACTTCACAGTAATACGTATATTACATATAAATAATAGGATGAAAAACACAGTGAATATTTCACATTGCAACTCAATGTACTTGTTTATTTTAAATATTTAGACAGATTTATTTGGATTACTTATAGCATGACTTTCAGAGGAGGTATTTCCCAGCCAGAACAGGATGGATAAAATCTCATAGGACACATGTACCTCCCACCAACAAAACTTATGACTTATGTGGATTACAGTTCATTTTATTAGCTCACTTGCAGCCTCTTACTGAATCATGCCACAGATGTCACTCAAACCTTCAAATGCTTTGCATTAGATGGTGTGTTTATGTGCTGCAATAGGTGTCTTCTTAAAAGAGGATTCACACCTATTCAAGTGAAGGGAGAATGTCTTTTCTGAGAATGTGTCTGCCATCTACAGTTTCTATAGAGTAACCGTATTTTTTTAAAGTATGCTTCCTGATGTATCAAGAAGGACTTTTTATCAGATTAAATTATTTTAAATCCTGTTCAACTAAGATTAAAAGAGACACAATCATGGCGGAGAATAAAGCAGTGAAAATAGAGGCAAGTGCTTGAGGACTCAGAAACAGATGTTTAGAAAAAATATAAGGTGAAATCAGGAACATTGAGAAGACAGTTGTCCTGGTCAAAGAAGGGAACTGGAAAAGAGAAGCTGCTGTCTCCAGGAAAAAGACCAAGATTCTTGGGCAAGCGATTCCTGCCTTGCCCCAAGCAGTAAGGACAAATAGTCCATCTTGACCTGGATGTTTTCTTGCACCAGGGAATTTTTCTGTATTTTTTTTCTCGCTTCTGAAATGATTTTAGTGGTATGAATACCTGTGCAGATTTCATCAATTAATCAAATAGACAAACTCAAGAAACTGATGAATAACATGTATGTAATTAGATCAGAGCACTCTCAAGGCACATATTCTGTGTTTTTTGTGCACATGCACATGCATAATATTCTAGTATGCAAGTCTAAACTGAACACAAGGAAATACCTGTTTCTAAATGTTTTTTTTACCTTGCCCCAATCTCGCTGGCTGTCTGTGCAAGCAGATGGCATCTTTGCTTTCTTTTTACTCTGCTTGAGCTTTTCCCCTGCTTTCACAACTTCATTAGAATCATTTTTACAAGAAGGACAGTACCTAAAAAGATTGGTATTTTTTTACAAATAATTACTACTGCATGAAAAATAAGCCAGAATAGAGCTGATGAATCGGTATGTATCGGCACTACAGCCCCGTTGCATTTTATTGCCTGATTTCTCCCTCACTGGTAAAGCTCACCTAACCAAACAGTTCACTGTAGTTGTTTAAGGCACAGTGAGCCATGGCGTATGCCAGCAGGCATTCTGCCTATTTGCCCCTGAATAGGTGTGGTGATCATGGCCAAGCTCAAGGGTTAAACACAACTCTTGTATAACTCTGCAATAGAGCACTCAGCAAGCATAGAAACAAGCTCCTCCTTTCTATGCTGAAGCTGGGAAGGGTAGGAGGCATGTCACATCGCCTTTGCACCTAAGCACAGGACAGGTTTACCCATCCAACAATGGGCTGGATTCATCCACCAAATGGACAGGTAGAATCTACTTGCAAGAGAGGGTACATCCCATTCTACCCACCAGCTTCCAGAGCAACCGAAAAGCACTCCCTTGAGCACAAGGTGTTACTGCCCTACTTTCTGCAGTCCTTATCTTTCCCTTTCCCTGTGACTCAGTCCATTCCATTCAGCAAGGTCCCCCCAACACCTGAAGGAACCTTTCTGTGGAACTCTGGAGTAGAATGGAACAGAAGAGTCTGAGCTTATCATTCTCTACAGGTAAAAAGGTGGATTGCAAGTGCTGCTTTAGTAGACACATCTACACCCCTTTGAAAATATTAAAGGATAAAACATAAAAGACATTGGACTGGCTGTTTCAAATGAAATGCTGGTATGTTTACTGGCATGTAGGTTTACTTAAAGGTAGTTGTGACTGTTATCAAATAGCTGAAGTTCTTTAGGTGGTAGGCAATTAGGCCAGCCAGCTGTTTCAAGAAGAATGGTGTGCTTACCTGTGATTAAATATACTTAGGTATAGCTAGTGATTAGACAGCCATTTCTAAACAGGCCAATGTTTCTCATGATGTAGACATAGAGAATCAACTTATACTCAGTTGAATCTGCGTAACTAAGGCTACAATCCTGTGCGCACTTACTTGGGAGTAACACCAATGGAATGCTGCTGGATTAAGTTCTCAGTAAACACACTGAAGATTTCACTATAAACTGAGCAACACATAGGTCCCTGAGATACATACTATTAAGCTTGGACTGCTGAGAGCAGTGCTTTTTACAGATGGTTCTAACACAGTCTTTCTAACACAGAGAGATTATTCACTTCTCAATTTCTTGCATGGCAAAGGCAGAAAATATAATACTTTGTTTACTGTGTCATACATTCATCAACTTGCAAGAATTCCTATGGTTCACAACTGCTAACATGGATTACAATCCTCATCTCATTTATAAGCATACTTTAAAAATGTGTGGGAGGAAATCTAACCTCTTTCCAATCTTTAAACACTAACAGGGTACTTAGGAGTGATTATTTGTATTAAATGACCTTAAGCTGTAGGGGAATACATCTGAGAATAAAATATTAACCATCTCAGAATTGCTTCAAAGAATATAAAAAAAAATTCTGATAGTCCATCTGTTCCTTTGATGCAAAGTCCATTTATCTGAAATAAACTTAGACTATATATCATTCATGTTAAGGATCAATTAGAATGGTTATATTTCTATAAAACTGAAATTCTCAATAATTCTCCCTACAATCTTACAAGGAAAGAATTATATCTTGCATTATTTACCAGTCTTCATCTTCTGGTATCTTGCTTAAAGGTGGATTCAGGCAGTATATGTGGTAGGCCATATTACACTCATCACAGAGAAGCTGCATATGGGCATCCTGTTTTCCCCCACACAAATAACAAGAACAAAATCGACATTCTTTATCTGGGTCAGCTCTGCAATGCTTGCATTCAGGACCACTCTTTCCTAAAAAGACAAAGAAGAAAAACATATATTCTCTATTACAAAGCAACTCAGATTTTAATCCATGTAAAGGTGAGATAATAAAACAAACCTACTATTAAGCCATACTTTACAAAATATTTATTCTGAAATATTATGAATTACAACAAGAGACTGATAGCCTGGAGAAAAATAAACAATCAAATGTTGAATACTTTTCTTGACTTTCCCCATGACAATTTTGTAGCTGTTCTTTGAAAAATTTGGAAAACTAAACAATTCAGAATAATGAAATATTTTTCTTTTAGAATGATGAACACCATGTTTAACACAAAGTGTTCATATATTTCTCCTCAGCTACTAATCTTCCAAATCAATTTCTTTAAAACATGGAACAAATGTAAAATTTCTGCAAATTTTGAAGCCATGGGGGATATCTTATACATAGCTGTCCCAGTATTTATTTCTTATTTTTTTATTAAAATTATCTATCTGATGGGTATTTTACTGACAGGCATGTGAAGTTCCAAGTCAGGTTTAGCTTCCCAACACAGAGTCACCAAAGCATAATACATGAAATAAATGTTTTTTTACAGTTTGGGATTTGTTCAACACTGTCCTGTGTTTCTGGACTTGTTCTAACTTGAAGGCTGTTGAGAGTCAGTGATTGAAGTCTTAAAACTTGCATGTGAGAGAAACACTGTTCATTATCCTACCACCATGTATAACATCATGAACATTGGGCTGGTAGTCTCACCCCTGTTCCTTTAAAATAAAACAATCTGAAGACTGTATCCATGGAACTGACTGCCAGTTTTTAATAAAGTTTGCTCCCAGGACCTCACTGTTAGGTAATGCTGTCTCAGACATAAAATCTTTTAACCCAGGGATCCTCAAACTTCGGCCAGATACGGCCCACCAAAGTCATTTACCTAGCCCGCCTCAGAGCTTTTGGACTTGTTCGGAGAAAACAATCTCTGAACAAGTCCAAAAGCTCTGAGCCAGCACAGGCATACTCTGAAACTCAGTTTTGGAGACTAGCAGAGCCAGCGCATGCACCAAATTGTAACAACTCTCTTCAACTGTGCATGTGCCAGCTCTTGCCCCTATTGCACTCATGCATTGGCTCTGAATACATAGCGGGAATACAGATCGGGAATACAGAAGAGAGGAGGGTGGTGGGAAGAGAAAGAGACAAAGACACTAAAAAAAGATAGAAAGCAAAAAATATATAATCAAATGTTAAATGTAATAAGGTTAATCCGTTTGGTTTTTTTTAACCACAAAAATATGATCCACATCCCCAGACTGCGGGCCAAGCCACAGCTGCCTTGCTAAGCCCGGGAGCAGATGGGCCGAGGCGGAGCGGGAACAGGGCCGTGGCTCCCGCGCCTCTGCCACGGCCTTCTCAGGGCAAGCCACTGCCACAACTGAGTGGCCACCACACTTCTTCCCCCTGCGGCAGGGAGAGGCAGGAGGTGCTCCACTCAGCCAGCTGCAGCCCCGTCCCTGGTTTCCCTTCGCCTTGGCCCGCAGAAAGCAGTCGTTACCTCCCTCCTTGCAACGCTCTCCTGACCGGCCTCTCCAGCCTCCCGCTCCTGCTCCCCCTCCCTGAGCCGGGTGAGCGCCTGTGAGGGGACCTTCTTCTGGCTTGAAAGCGGGGCGGCAGCGAGGAGTGGGGAAGGCCTCAACCAAGGTGAGCACACCCTCATGGCTCCCCCTCATGTCATGCTCTCCCTTTCGACGGGCAGCGTGGCATCATCTTGGGCTTCTGCTGCAGCCCGAGCGAACAGAGCAACATTTTTTAATTAAAAAGAAATATAACACAGGTTTTTAAAAAAGAGAAACTTACTGAATATTCACTAAGCCCTGCAACCCAAGTCCATCTTTACAAACTATATGCAGAGACATAATTTGTAGAGATAGACTTGGGTTGCAGGACCTAGTGGATATTCAGTGAGTTTCTCTTTTTTTAAGCTATTTTATATATATTTTTAATAAATCATAATTTTAGCAGATTCAGAAGTTGCTCTCCTCCACCTCTCCTGCTCATGTTTGCTCATGAAAAATAAATTGTAAAGCAAATTTTGATGTAGGATGCCACACGTCATGTATTTCTATGGGTGTGCACTGATGTGAGTGCAGATTTATTAGTATCATTTGGTTGCTATAGGAGATGGTGGTTAAAACAGGTGGTGTTGAGGCAACAGATCGCTTCATCACAACCTGTCCACTGCTTTCCAAAAGCGATCTCCTGTGGATCACACTACCACATATGTAAATGAGCTCTGTGCGCATGATGAACTCATGATAGTTCTTTGCAGAAATGGTCCTAATTGTATCATTTTTATACTCATTGTGTTGCTGTGGATGCTGGGGTGTCACCATCTCATTAGCCAAAAGCAGGCCCATACTTCCCACTGAAATACTAATAAGTTTATGTTGATTAAAATTGTTCTTCATTTTAAATATTGTATTGCTTTTTCCTATTTTTTGCACTACAAATAAGATATGTGCAGCGTGCATAGGAATTTGTTCATATTTTTTTCAAACTATAGTCCAGCCCCCCAAAAGTTTGAGGGACAGTGAACTGGCCCCCATTTAAAAAGTTTGAGGACCCCTGTTTAAACCACTCCCACCAAAATAAACCCTCTCTACCTCAAAACAAAATAAAACTCATATATTCCTATGACATTGGGTGATTGTGAAAGAACCTTTCAGAATGAACAAAAATAGGATACTTATTAGGAGGAAATTAATTAAAGAGGAATAAAATATCACTCTTCAAATAATTGGCTGGTATTTTTAAAAATTTCTTAAAATATGGTGGTTAGCATTCCTATATTGCTTCCATACAGTCTGAAGTGCCTGATCCTGGTTGAAATCTGGATAGGTGACTTAATGTTGTGAACTGCCCAAATAGTTTCAGTTATGGGCAATATAAAAATGCAGTAAATAACCATGAGGATGAGGATGAGGATAATGGTGGTATGAGATCTTCCCCAGCTAAATATATTCTCAACACCTTTTCCTTCACTCTAGATTTTGTTAAAGCATTATTCCATAAACAGGAATGGGTTTAAGGAAGTTCCTTGAACTTATAAATAGGAACAAATTCTGCACCAATCTTCTCCTGCTTTGAGGTATTCCTGCTTCTTCAGGTTTCTACAATTTCAGATTTTTCTGAAATCACAGAATTTCCTTCTGGTCAGGCATAAAATACAAACCTAAAACACATTATGTCTAACATGGTATTCTTATAAAATTTTCATGTTTGGTACATTAACTTTAAAAGCATAATTTGTTCAAATATTACAAATTTACTGACATTACTTTCAAATGTTTTTAATTTTAATGGTAATTTTCTACACAAATCAACTTCTGTATACATGCTATTTTCTCAAAGTAACAAAGAGTGCAGTCCAATGAGAGTAAGCCTTCAAACTTGGAGCCTAACATCCAACAGTGTTTTGAAGAAGGAGGTACTGAGGTTGAAGGAGCTTCAGGATATGTTAGCCATTCCAGTCTCCCTCCCTCCCCACTACCCTCAAATCACATCAAGAGTACTTTCTCTGCCCATGCCTGCCTGGCTACAGAACCACCAATATTGCTTGGTGATGACAGTGGTAAGAAGTCTACCTGCAGTGTCCCTCAGTGAGAGAAAATGCAGAGGAGTACCCAATGTGCAAGAGGTGGCATCTCCCTGCAGCTGGGTGGGCTACTGCTGTCATGCAACTTCTGGTACTCCCCACTGGGCTGGTATGGAAAGGGACGCGAAAGCCACCTCCTTGACCATGGTCTGGATTTTGTGGATAGCATTCAGCCTCTCGTCCGTCCAGGCACTGAAGAGGTCCTCCCCAACAAAGGGCATATCTTTGATTCTACAGCAAGCCTCCTGAGAGAAGCTTGCTGCCCAGAGTCAGGCATGGTGCTGGATTGCCTCAGTGCTGAGGGCCTGAATTCAGCCCTGTGCTGACTTGATGCTGACTCAGCCAGGGATGCTGCAGAAGGAACAGTAGATCCCACTCCTGGACCTAGTACAGGTCTCCAAGCAATGGGATGATGGCTGCAGCTGGACTGGTGCCTTCCACAAAGGAACACGATGGTGACCAGCACCATGCCCTCCATCTGGATGTCACCATAAACTGGATCCACTGTTGATTCAGTGAGTTGTTGTGTCTCCAGTCTGAGCAATGCCACCACCAACTGGAGAACTTTTCCAGGTCTGCAGAGGGAAAATTGCAGGAGCGCCTCCTAGATATACCAAGGTGAGGAAGGGCTCCTACTGGAATGAGTTTCGCTAGGAACATCTTCCTGACCACAGACCCCACACAGGCTTAGGTCCTATATGTGACACACAGAAACCACGAAGAACTACAGTGCTTCTTATATTCATTCAATTAAAGAATGATTATCCCATTCTTCAGCCAAAAAAGACTCCCAGAACAGTTGAGAGAACAATCAGAGCAAGGCACCACCTGCCTTGCATGATTCTAAAATAAATATACTACCCTTAAACCCCATCAGCTGCACAGTATATTTAATATTACTGAAAAAAAATTATTAATTCCTTAATTTGTCAAAGGTTTTTTTTTAACAAATTTCATTTACAAGAATGTAAAACTCTCTATATAATGTGAAAAGCTGCATACAAATGCAGAGTACCTACTTTTGAACTCTCCATCTGCAAATGTCAATGGATATGCTCCTGGCTTTTCAATCTTGTATATTTCTTCTATAAATAGGAGTCTGCAATCATTTATAACATCTTCTGGACCTCTGAAAATTAAAGCATAACATGTACAAGCTCAGTTTCTCTCAATCCAATTGCAATGTTGACCAACGGAACCTAAGTTTTTAATCTGGTAAATGCATTATATGCAACAACAAGTATGTATTCAGAACTAAACAATGAGCACATCATAGACTGCAATTCTGAAACTAGGTACAGTAGGACCCCCATATCCATGTGGAATAGGTTCAAAGCCACCAAGCAGGTGCCTGAAACTGTGGATAGTAGTGAACACTATATACAGTTGAATCTCGACTTTCACAGGCCTAACTTTTGCAGATTTGATTGTTCATGAGTTTGTCACGGATAATTAGATAAGATTTTTAAAAAAGTTAAAATCCTATTTAAATCCTAGTTTTGCAGCCTACTGTGATGTAGGAAAGAGGGAGGGGCAGTGAAAGGAGACCTGTGTGGGTATCACTGTCTCTCTTCACAGACAGTTGCGTGGGGAACACTTCTCTATCCAGTCAGCTCCAAGCCAGCCAGGAATGGTGTGCCACCCCCCAGGAAGGGCAGGGGAGGTGCCAGACTCAGGACTGGGCACGCCACTGTGCGCAAGGCTCACAATGCAATGCATGACAAGCTCCACTGGAGCAGGCCTCACTCCAGCACGTTGGCTGTTTTCAGACCATGGTTAAGTGAAACCACAGTAAATGAAAAGGATATGGAGATTTTACTGTATTATTATTTAATACTAAGTCAGAAATGTAACTATTACGCAAACTGTTATTCCAGAATAAAATAAATCATAAATTCATCAGTAAACACCACTTATATGTGCAATCACATTTAAAAAAAAATCTTATTTAAAAAGTCTATACTTCTTTTCTAACCACTTTGCTCAAGGAAACTTTCCCAAAGCCGGTACTATCAAGATGCCTTGGCCTTCAACTCCCAACAGCATGATTAATGGCTAGGAATGCTAGGAGTTGCAGTTCAAAACATCTGAAGGCACCAAGTTGGGATGACTGGCACAAGGTTATCAGCCACAAAATTAACGATATAAAATTAATTAAAACAACAAAGAAAAGCATTAGGACAAAAATGTAAGGAGTCTGTTTCAACAGATCCAAAAGAGGTCAAACATCCTAAGTACAAACTAAAATCCCAATGATACTGTATAAATTTTAACATATAACCAAACAGAACATTGTACATAAAAATAAACAAAACTAAAGTAAAGCACTTTATCATCCCCTGTAAAAGCAAGTTCAGGTGAGCCAAATCGGAGCCATTGAAAATCAAGAGGGGAATCTTCTTCAGCCCATTAGTCAAATTCTACTTTGCAAGAGGTCTCGAAGGCCAAAGGTAAAGTGAGCAGGGTGAAGCTGTGATTTTTACGAATTAAGCTTATTCGAAGGTAAGCAAGACAAGCTTCTGCACAACTACCCAGAAGCAAACAAGACTGAATTACTCAGCAGCATGTTTGAATCCTGACTTCAAGTCTAGGCTGATAAGATGTGAGCTAGCAAAGGCTGATCAAGAAAGGGATCAAGGGAACAATGCAATTAAAATATGAACCTGCTATCCAGCTGCTGTGAAAAAGGTAAACTCCATGCTAGGTATAATTAGGAAAGGAAAGGAAAGGTTTTTATAAAATTCTATTTGGTGCAACAACACTTAGAATATCATGGACAGTTCTGATTGCTACAACTGAAAAAGGACATGGAAAGAATGCAGAAAAGCCAACTAAAATGACAAAGGGACTGGAGCAACTCCTTTATGAGGAGTGGTTACAACACCTGGGTTTATATAGCTTTGAGGGGGGAAAAGGTAAGTGAAAGACATAACAGAGGTGTTTAAAATTGTGCATGGTGAGCAGAAAGTGGAAAGGGAGATATTTTTCTCCTCCCCCCATGATACCAGGGTCATTCCATGAGGCTGACTAGAGGGAGATTCTGGACAGATAAAAGGAAGAACATCTTCACACACTACACAGTTAATCTATGGAATTCACTGCCACAGAAAGCAGTGACGGCAACCAATTTTCAGTTTTAAAAAGAGAATGGACAAATTCAAATTCATAGTATCAATGGCTACAAGCCTTGTTGGCTATGTGCTACTCTTATTGGATGCAGTATACATATGTACACTGCTTGCTGAAGACATGGCCAGGTGGAACTCTTGTATCCATCCTGCTTAAGGAATCCAGCATACAGCTGGTTTGCTACCCTCTGAATGGAGTGCTAGATTGGATGGACCATTGGTCTGATCCAGCACAGCTTTTTTTCATGTGCTTATACTCAGTTCAAAGTTTTGCACACCAACCACTAAAATCTACCCTGTAAATGTTTAATGGCCATTTTATGTTGCCTTGAGCAGTGGAGCAAGCATGCACTGTCTGCAAGAATGTAACATGTTCTGGGGGTTCCATACAAAGGAACATATGCATAAGGATCTAATTTATGCAGCTGTTTCTCCTCAAAACTTGGCTATCTTGTGCTATTCAGGTCCCGGTTTTTTGCATGAAGTCCCCTCATCTGAAGCTATTCAATGGACATATTGTATTTCTCCACCATGCGGGCTGTAGTATCAACCTAGCAAGTGACTGAACCAAGCTTCAATTTTTTGACAGCAGCAAATCAGACAACCAACTATTTAAGGAGTATTCTCTATTGTAAGAAATCTAATGACACGATTGAGACTAAATATTTTTGATGAGTTAAAAGGTTAATCTGAATCTTTTCATATCTTCTCCTTCTTACTTAGAGCACCCTGAAAAACTTCCCCCAATAGTATGGGATATTGTGAGTGGTAATTCACAGAAATGGTATCATAACCACTCTGTATGAACATTGTTATCAGTATAGACAAGCAAACCCATTGTGTTTTCTTCAAAAAGCCTTTATTTTTCCTTACAGCTACAATAAACAGAAAGATGACCACACTGGGTATGCAAAAGTTACTAAAATTATGTATCATGGTTTACAAATGCCTAAAGCCTAGTTGACTTCACGGACACCTTCAGAGACAGAAAAAATTCCACTAAAGAATGCTGAAATAAGTTGTGAAGACCAACCTCTTCTCTATAATATTCAAAGAGATGCTTGTCAAATCAGTTGATAGGAGTTAAGGAGACAGTTTAAGATAATGTCATTGCTTTTCTGGGGTATTAGTTTTGGTAGATGTGCTCATCAATCTCACTCCTCCTTCTGGTTTTTTGCCAGGTTTCTTGATCTGCAGCTCACCCATATTCATCTAAGTTTCCTCTGACACCACAGTGAGAATGGGAAAACTGCCAAAATATTCATACCACAGGATTATGAGCACTGCTAAAATGAGCAGAGTAGGGAGTGGAAAGGAAGGAAAAGCAAGGAAGTGATCACTTGCTTCAGCTTTCTGGAATTTAGTCTTCTTGCTCAGACAATGAACCTTTCAAGCTTTAAGGAGGAAAGGAAGAGGGACACATGCTACTGTCTAATAGACTACCTATTCTAAACAACGCCTAATGTTCACCCAAGTTTTCTGTGATTGGCTAATTTCTCTTTTTCGGGCTGGAACCATGTGAAGCTCAATCTGGAATCCTAAGCCTTTTTCACACAAAATAAGAAGAAAATGGCTTCCATGAGAGGTGGGGTTAAAAGAGTGAAAAATACAAAACGTAACCTGTAGCTAATCAACACTGAAGAATGGAACAGAACTATACAACAATCCTATTTTTTACATATCAGCAACAGATGCCCTTCTCCGGGAACCCTCTGTGAATGATATTAGGAGGGTGAGTACCTGGAGGAGGGCTTTCTCTGCAGTGGCGCCCCACCTATGGAATGTGCTCCCCAGAGAGGTCCGCCTGGCGCCGTCATTATTTGTTTTTTGGCGCCAGGCTAAGACCTTTTTATTTAAAACTTATTTTAATTGTTAATTTATTATGTAGGTTTTTTAACAAAAAAACATTTTTTTAAGCCGAGAAGCACCGGGTTTTAATATTTTTATTGTATAATTTTTATATGCGTTCGTTTGTTTTTGTTGTGAGCCGCCCCGAGGCTTTGTTGCGATGGGGGCAGCATAGAAATGTTTTAAATAAATAAATAAAATAAATATATTTTCCCCTCATTTCGTAACATTTTCATTTTTAAAAACAAATGTAAGAGTAAACCTAATTTCTCCACAAAGAGAAAGAGAAGAAGCTTAAATTACTGCATCATAAGGGTAGTGCCACTAAATAAAACCAATCAAGACAACAATAGCCTGCAGTCCTATACTTGCCTGGACATATGCCCCACTGAACTCAATAAATCTTACTTCTGAGCAGACTTGTATAGAACTGTGCACTAAGTATTCTAAACAGAAGTTAGAAAGACTATTTTGACTCTCAGATAGCCAAAAGAATTACAGCTTTAAACTTCTGGCAGGAGATCCGTATTTAGACTAAATCTTCCTACAAGCAGCTAATTAATTTGGCAGTTACCATAGCTACTGTCAAAGATCCTCCTCAAGGTCAACATGGAAACCACAATGCTGAAGAATTAAGGACAAAAGTTTGAAAGACAGGAAATGCAGGATTAGTCCCCTATATAATGTTGACACAATTATGACAGTTAAGTATAAATAGTGTAGCTTAATAGTAAAAGGCAACACAATTTTAAGTGGGGGGGTATATTACCACCCCAAAATAATATGGGCAGGTGTTGGTAATTCAGCAAAATGACTGGAGGAGGACCATCTAATATTTTATACTTATTTTATCTGTATTTGCTAAATAATTACTACATTTCTCTATGTTTAATTAACCAAACATAACATGAAAAGATGATTCTCAGTTGTGAAGTTTCCTTAAACTTTCCTTACACACTAATACTTTACACAACTGTTCTTACTGACAACTTTAAGACAAAGCAATTACTATTTCTGACAGGTCATTATTTCAAACAAATTCACTAAATTTTAAAAATTCACAAAATTTAACAGTACAAAATCTGAATTCATTTATTTATTGGATTTATATGCCACTATAATAGCCCGCATCTGGACTCTCTTTGTGGCTCACAAAATAAATGATGGAGTATTTTTTCCTCTGGATGAGGTAGATGGATGGAATTAGAACCACAGTTCAGTATGTAAGTGCCACAAATTTCTTCACTCTTGGTGAATATATTAACATTTTGGGTCCACTGCATGTTATGGTTATTTGGTTTGTTCCAAACTTAGTTACCATGGTTACATGAAAACTATCTGGTTTAATTATGACATGCTGAGAAAAAGGAAGCAAGACTAAAAGGAGCATGTGTATCCCCATTAATTAAGCAGAGATATGATGATGCAAACTGGCTTTGTGAACTGTGGTATCTTTTAGCAAGGCAGTTACAAGTCCTCTTCCCTGTCCTGATGCTCTGATGCCCTGTTCTTGCACTCCTCCTTGGAGTTGCTCCTCTTCACCATTGTAACTTGTTTATCTACTTCTCGCTTGGGCCCAAACTTTGATGAAAGTGAAAAGGAGGAGCAATAGATACAATTGCCTACTTGCTCACTGTTCTGCCTATAAAGCAGAAATAAAAATGGTAGCAATGATGAGAGATGATAAACAAGATTGGCTAGTGACTGTGGAAATCTGAAGGCAAACCACATCGGGAAGAAGGCCCATTAAAGGTGTCTTACACAAGGGACCTCCGGAATCTGGAGAAGACCCTGTCTGACAGTTTCTATCTTGGCACGGAACTTCACACTTGCAATCTGATCTGCCAATCAATAAAATAAAATACAAATGACATCTCACTTTTGAAATTAATATTATAATGCCAGAAGTCCAAAGAATTTAGAAATGGAAAAAAAAGGTTTTGCAATCTGCTGAGATATTACAGCTGAAAATTGAATTCCTGGTTGCTTCTCTTTGTTGATGGATTGCAAAATCAATCATTAAAATCTTACCCAAGCATAATTTTGACATAAACTTCTTTGTTAGTCCTTGAAATTTCCCTCAAATTGGTAATCTCTGCATCAAACCAGAATCCTCTCTCCTCTGGACTCTCTACATTGTAGTTAACCATCACCACATCACCAACACGTAATTCATTCCATTTCAAAATAGTTCTTGCTCGTGGTCGTAGATTACGGACAGTCATTTCTACGATGCCACTCTCTGGGTATCTTGAAGAAACAAGCAAAACAAGTATTATGAGAACATGCAGCTTACTACAAAATGTAGTAGCAAATACTTTTACAACTTTCTTAAGCATATATGACTAATCTTTAAAATCACTATTTCTGATTGAGTATATCAAGCTTTTGTGAAATCCTGAGCTAATAATTTTGAAAATTACTAAAACTATCATGTAAGCTAGTTTATTCAGAAATTAGCAGTGCTAATTTCAACAGGATTTCCTCCCTAGTAAATATATTTAGGTTTGCAACCTGCGTAGCCAACAGCATTTCTCAGAAATCAATATGTTTCAAGGGCAAGTTGCAACATGGCATGGAGAGGACTATTGTCACGCAATCTCTTTGTGCCTGAATCCATTAAAAAGGTCTCTGAACAATGGTCATGCACAGATTAATCACTGAATATGCCTACAGTGTTTACTTATAATAGTGATTCAAGCCATTTGTCTCATCTGTGAGTTTTGGAATTTCTTGGTATGTCCCCAAACACCAGAAAGATAATTCTGATTAACTACCTTATTTCAAAATATAATCTCTCCAGTCCCAAATGTATTTACCTGTAACAAGCCCTAACAATTTCAATCAAACCTCAGTCTAAAGCTCTTACAATAATGGCCTCATAACCTCAATTCCCCATCTAAACCTAAATCTTAATGATACTGCAATTCAAAGGAGTAATACCAGTGGAAGCCCTCAAAACAATAAATTATAATTAAGATTATTAAGAACAGCAACAACATTTATGCAGTAGCTAGATCCAGAAACACACCAAGCTGAATCCAGATTCTATTCTGCACAAGCAAGAGGCAGAAGCAGAAAGTAATTTTTTTCTGATTGTACAATGTCATTCCACTAATACTGGAATACTGATCCAGATACTACATTCTGCAAGTGCCACATTTGCACCACTGCTACAATTCTTCTGCAGTCCTCCTGGACCCAACTGTTTAAAGTACACCCCAATCCTTGCATATGTCCAATAAGATCTGTTAGGTTTGAAACACTGAAGATATCACAGCTACCATTAAAATCTTCCCATACTTTGAAAAGCAGCTTGAAGGTAGAATGGAAGACTGCTGTTCCAAGTGACACAAGTCCCAAGTTCCCTTAGGTACTCAAATCTGGTTGTGTCGTTCTTCAAATTGTGCCCATAATTTTAATTTCAATTCACCTCTGGTTATGAAGAGTCATTTTGAAAATCCAGCTCCACATCAATAAAGACAAACAAATGAAAGGTGTGCTGATTAGTTACTGTGCAAATAGTTACATGGGCAAGGTACCGAAGTGGGACCAAGGGACCAAGGTGCAAAAAACAGAAATTTGTGAGTTAATCACACCAGAAATTTCAACAATACATGCCTGATATATTTGCAGCCTTTAAATATTTAACCTCGATTGATATGAAATCCAAACCCTGACCCTTTAAGTTAACTGTGCATTAAGCCTTCCTCATTTAACCTAAATACTAATGGAAGGTTAACTGTCAGTTGTTTAACTCACAATTAACATATAGCTCTCAGGGTTTGGCCATCATGTAGCAAACCCTGATCAAGGCTAAATATTAAAATAACTATAAAATAGCTATGACAAGTGCATGGAAATCATGGATTAATCAGCCCAAGTTTCACCAACTTTACATGAAAACTAGGTCACAGAATCTCTCTCCTTCCCACTGCATGCTGCAACTCCTATGGTTATTCCTTAGCAACCAATGGGTTGTCATGCAACTTTGGTCAAAATCTAAGACCAAAGAACTAGATCCAAAGTATGAAATTTCACCACTGAAGTTGACAGCTCTTATGAATTTAGCAGAGGCAAATTTCTTATGAGTGTCAGAAGGGAGTCCTGCATCTCAGTTATGGTTTTATATGGCACTGTTAATCATGGTCATCACAAAGATCAAGCGATATCAAAGTGAAAGAGGCTACTACAGCAGGGGAAAAGTATTTCACTTTTTTCTGCACCACAAGCAGAGAAAGGTACAGGACTTTATTTCCACAGCCATAAACTAAGGGACAATTGTTATTTATAAAGTAATTTACAGGACTAAGTCCATTTGGAAAACCACAGTATATTTGTAGAATATAGCAGCACCAACAGTAAACAATATTAATTTATAGAGGAAGAAACATCTGATACACAAAATGACAAAGATCTAGTTTGGAGTATACTATGCCACCACATGGACAGGCAGGAGGGTTCAAGAACATTACTATCTCATTTCTGAAGCAAGAGAACCTCTCTAAGGGGACGTAAAGTATTCACAGCTAAATTTCAATAAAGCCTAGATCATTCAGTCAGTTCCGTTTTTGCCTGGGATATCAAATGCTATGTTCAGGCCTATGGCCATTGGATTTTGCAAAATAATATGCTATTCATCCTTTCCACACAGTTTGGTAGCCCTGGGGACAAGATAAAGGCACTAAAAGGGTGAGGAGAAAAATATACTATCTCATTCACCACCACAAATTGGGGTAAAAGTTTTCACTAGAATCAAAGTATAGACCATTTGTATGGGGGGGGGGGGGCTGCCACAAGCAGTTCCTCTGAAACAAAAAGATGTTAAAATGACTACTAGTTAATGAGGTTAAGAACTTTATGGGAGAGAAAAAAACATATCTGAAGGCTCAAAAGTGGGAGAGCTGAGAAACATCTAGATAAAACGGCGCTAAGCACTATATGGCAAGTTGAAAGACTTCAACTTCACAGATGACATTTTAAATACAGGAGTGTCAGAAGAGAACACATATCCCATTGTGTTAAAGCTGTGCAAGTGGCTGTTTTACACATCAGCAGCCCTGGTTCAATGTCATTCTCAGCAAGCTACAAAGGAGATGCTTGTGCGGTGCTGATAGGCAAACTGCAGGCAACATGTTTGCTTACTCCCACTCATACAACAGCAGCCATGTCAGAAGAGCTGGCCTACTGTATAATGGATGGGCAATTTTCACACATAATAACAGCGGATTCTTTGTCCAGCTAGTACAAGTTCAACCTGTTCTGGGTGGGAATGCACTCCCCTTAAGGTTCATAGCCTGGAAATCCTCCAGTAGCCATATTTATCACTGGAGGCTCAGTGCCACAAAGTGCCTTCTACCAGCTTCAGCTGGTGGTCCAGTTACAACCCTATCTGGACAAGAGCCTGGTTTCAGAAAAACTGCACTCCAGCAATTTCTAAATTAGTTAACTACAATGAACTCTACATGGAGTGCCCTTGAATCTGTTCAAAACACGCAGCTTCTCCAACATGAGACAACCAAACTAATAACCTTGACCACCAGGTCTGAACACATATTACCAATCCTGATTCACTTGCACTGGCTGCCAATACAGTGCTGTTTTTACATAGCTTGAATCCATGATATCTGTTGGGAGTATTTCTTCCAATCTGTCTTTTCAGATACTACACTCAACCTCTTGGGCCTTCCTCCAGCTGCCGTTCTGAGAGAGGATCAGTTGGATACATCAAGGACAAGGCCCTTCTCAGTGGTTGCCCCAATTGTTGATTGATCTCCCAACTGATATGTATCTGGTGCCAACAACGTCATTTTAAAGACAAACCTTTGTGCTACAGTATATATAAAGATATATAGGGTTTGATGGGATGCCCATGTTGGGTGTTTTTAACAGGTCCATTCAATATTGAACTTGTTTTTCTAAAATGTTTTTACATTTCTTACACTGTTTTAAATTCTGTGCGGTAGACCAATTTGATGGCTGTTTTACTGTATGATGTCTATGCTTTAGACACTGCTGTATACAGTCCAGAAAGCTTCTTGTGGGCATTATACAAATGAATGAAACTAGAAGAACAAATGCTTTTTTGTCTACTCCAGGTCAGGAAAAATGGCACAAGAGGCTGTAAACATTAAGTTATAAGAAAATGTATTAGAGAGAAAAGAGATGGTCCAAATCTTATGGGAAGTATCCAACAGCATCATTCAACTAATGCAAATCACTTTGCGCAAGCAAAAACTAAAACTATGTGTTAAGGGAAGAACCCAAAGTTAGATGTGTACAAGCATTCTATGCAAGATATATAGGTGCCTACGAAATGGAAAGATTTGGCAAACCTCTGCTAGTGTTATTTGGCTGTGGTATGACAGTGCTGAGTTGCTGTCCAATGCTTCTAGTCATTCAAACCAGTTCAAAAAGCAAAGCCCTCCTTTCTCTGTAAACTTACTGTGTAACAACCTTGGTTTTGGCAAACCAGTTTGCTATAAGAGGTAAATTAATGTACTACAGTTTACATGATCCCTCCAAACCAGGATCATAAGAAGCTGACATTGCTGGCCTATATGCACCTACCTGGAAATATGATCAATTGAACTCAGTGAGACTTACTTCTGAGTGAACATGTACAGGACTGTAAAATGAAGCTTCAAGGATGGATCAACAAAAGGTTTACATGTGATTTGAAGGTAAGTATATTTAGTAATACGAATCAAGTAAAAGGGCACAAAATTATTATTACACTTATTTCATTCTATTTACAAATGTGGAGACTGTCTGGGGGGAAACATGCTGGAAATACTGTAGAAATGTACTGATAAGCCAGCAGAAAGAAAGACACAGAAAATTATATAGCAACAGACATGACAAGTTTAAGAAGATGGAAGTCATGGGGAAGGACACGGAATTGTGTAGAACATAAAAGTTCGAATGTTTCCAGCTACATCCTTTTTGGTTTCTAAGAGGAAAAATAATCTAGTATTATCAATCATCTATTGTTCAGTTCCCTGTATTTCTAAAGACAAGAACTGGTTTCTTTGTTCTCCAAGAAACTCAGATCCTGAAAATCTGGACTTCACTAGCACATTTTGATTACAAAGCTAGAATGAAAACTTCGTTACACACCTGCAATTAAGATGTGCATAACCTCTATCTATAAACACATACTTTAATAAATTAACTATATCTCTAAGTAACAGCAATGCAGCTTCCATAAAGCAGCAGAACATTAAATAATGTAAAATCAGACAAAGAAA